ATATCAGTTCTAAAGGCCATCTAGGCCCGCAGCTTTTGATATAACATTCTTTCCTAATTTACGTCATTTTGACGAAAAAAATATATATACAGGGTGAGTCGGGAGGAGCGCACCAAACTCTAGGAGTATATTATACACGTGAAAATAATTTTAAAAACTCATGTGTTCTTATCCGATTTTCATTTGTTTTCAAGTTATGGCGTAATAAAAAATGTTCATCTAGCCTTCCACTTCTGAATTTTAACATTATGAAAGTATGCCATATGTTCAAGGCTCAAAGGCATTTGATAATTCTGACGGTTTGATGAACTGTCAGTGTACAGTGAACAGTAACTGAACGTTTAATTTCGAATTTATGTAATTGTTAGTGTTGCAAAATGCCAGATACTTATTCAAATTTAGAATAAGAGAATTTTATGTGTAAATTTGTTTATTTGTTAATATGCTATAACTTGAAAACAAATGAAAATCGGATAAGAACATGAGTTTTTTTACATTATTTTCACGTGTATAATATACTCCTAGAGCTTGGTGCGCTCCTCCTGACTCACCCTGTATAAACAACGTATTCTTGTATCTATAACAATTTATGATATAGGGTGTTCACCAGGGGTGTTAAATACCAGAATTCATAATAATCGTTTTCATTAGTTTTGGTGAAAATTGATACACATTTTAGTGACAGTACCTACTTGTGTTAACCAATGATAAAAAAGTTGAATAAAAATATTTTAGAGTAACATTTAGCAATATAGCAATTTTTTATATTTTATGAACTATTTTGAATGAAAATAAAAATAAAAAATTGTCATAGAAAGATGAATGTCTTGTTCCTACTTCAGAATTAATTAATTTACCAGATAATAAAGTGACTCTGTATTTGAATAGTTTAGAATCAATATCAAATTTGTATATTTTCGATTTTGTATACGAGATTGGATGCACTGAAAAAGCATATACATTATTACAGCCTGTCAATTTTACGTCAAAAAGTCTTCAAGACGTAAGTGACAATGTAAAGAAATTGTATTATTTATATTGATTAATAACAAATTATAAAGAATTTTCATTGAAGATGTTTTTTTTTATTTATTATGTTTGTCATGTTTGTTTTAAAATAATATTGATGTTGAAAACAATATTGGCAATGTTAATGTAGGTAACAATATTGGTAAAAATGAAAACATTTTAATTTCAAAAAATGATAATGTTCCTTTTTTAATTGAAACTAACAAAAATGAAAATGATGGAATCGTTACAAATGAGGTATCTATAATTTACAGATTTTAAATTATTATTTCAAATAAGTTGAAGACGGATATAAAGGATGAAGATAGGAAGAATAAATTCTTGTACAAGACTAAAAAATATTATTTAATATCTAGTAAAATTAAAGGTTAAAAAGTCTTATCTTTATTGTAAATCTATTAGAAACACATTTTATAGAAAACTAGATGAGAACACATACGTCAAAAAAAATATTTAAAGTGGCATGTCGTGTTTTTTAGTTAGTTACATGGAAAGGGGGAGGCAGTGAATAACATGTAGGTACTTTGTCCCGGTGGTGGGAGCTGTCGTTTAACCTGTCAAATTCAAAATAACGTTTCACATCGATGGAGTTTTTCGTCTTAGCTGAAAATAAAATAATTTACTTCTACACGTCTATAACAATAAAAAAACTCTTCAGTGGCGGAGCAAGACCTAAATTTTATGTGGGCAAGATATATTTTTGCAAGGACCTCTGGAGGCGCAAGAAGACGTATTTTATATAGAGAAATAACATTAAAACTTGTATAAAAAAATGCTAACAACTCTTAGACTTTAACTAATATTTTTAAGTAATTATTACTAGCAGTAAAGAATTACAGGAACATAAATTTCCTGCTTTTAGCTTTACTGAACTCTTGTACCATAATCCAGATTATATATCTGCTTCAATAGATAAAATTGACAATGCTAAAGTCTTTGCTGGCCCATTGTACTTCTTAATTTTTTATTAGTTTTAATTTTGAGAAGCTCCTTTCAGCAGTTGTACTTACTGGTACTGTTAACAAAATTTGAATAACAATATAAATATTTGGATACATTTCTTTCAACTTATTTTCTATTATGTATTGGAGCAGCTGTTTTACACCTTTATTGAAATCAGGTAAATTTAGGATCATTATTTGTAAATCTTCATAAAATTCGTAAGGTTTGAAATCACTACTCTCACCCACTCGAGAACAGTCCACTTTAAATAATTTTAAAGGTGATGCTTTTAAAAACAAATACAAAAATAAGTCAAAAATCATATAAAGGGGGATGTCTTAGGAAAGAAAGAGAAAAGAAAAAAAAAGCGAAAAGTAAAGAAAGAGAAAGAGCGCAAACAAAAACGCAAAAGACGCACCTTTTAAATGATTTACTTTTCCCCTCTAGAATCGAATATTAGAGGAGAATAAAAAAAAGTAAACCAAATCGGAACGTTTTGTTAAATATAATAATTCGATTTTTAGTTTTTAATATAATTATATTGTTTTATAAATAAAGTAGTTTATTTTTAATATTCTTGCATAGAACGATTGCCAAAAAGCAGTTTTGAATTGACACACTATATGTGCGTAATAGTTTAAATATTTCTCTTTAACGAGCAAAACTTTTAAAGGTTCTAACCATAAAACCATTTTTTTTTACTTATTTTAGTTCAATGGACCGGTTTACTTTTTATTTAATATTTATCCCTTTCAATCAGTGGATTCTCACATCAAAATCTGTTTATACAAACAGAAATAAAAATAAGCGAATATATGGCCATTTACAGGATTTTACCAATGTAGCATACCTACTTAGTAAAAATTGTAGTTTGTGCAACAAGAGTAGATATGGACAATCAACTTGAGTCGTACAGTATATTTTTTCTACGACCCACTAACAAAAATCTACAAATTTAAAAAATTATTTTAGGTTGTTAAGCCAAAATAATTAATTTTAAAATAATTAATGAATTTTATTAATTTATAAATTAAAATAAAATAAAAAAAATTGTCTCGAGCACGAATTCAAACTTGAGCTATTCGCGTGAAAAGCAAATGCTCTGCTCACACCTCCACGGCCACTTTTGTGATTTTAGTTTTAATACTCTTAATTAAATTAGTTTCATAAAGATTGATAAAAATTTTCAAAATGTTAACCAAATAATACTAAAAATGATATTATTTATCGTTTCTACACAAAAATAACTTTCATTTTAATATATATTTAATCTTAATAACCAAAAAATATAATGGCAATTAGTTTGACAGAGTTGTCACTTATTTAAAATAATAATGGTTGGGTGTCTAAAATATGAACTATTATTGGTGGATTTAATTTTTTTGCAGTCTTCTCACTACCTAGAATGGATATGAAATATATTCGTTTAGTTGAACGCAATAGCATACTTTTTCGTCTTGTAATCTGAGCGTAGATAAGCTAATATCTATGTGGGTGTAAAAAAACGATATTACCTATTTGTTATATCACTACGGCGCCACTTCCAGAGATATACATATATTGGAACAAAAAACAGATTTTGATAATGTTTAGAATTTGACATTCTTTCTTATTTAGAATAATTCGTTATTCGTTGTTTTTTATATTAAAGTTAAAATAGAGAGTGTTTGAAAGTTAACATTCTTCTATATAATTTTTGCTTACATATAAATAGGTCATATGTGAGAATAAATATTTTTCATAAGTTAAAGACAGCTGCATTAAACTTTTGAGGCGCGAGACCCTTCAGGCCGCGACGCCTAGACGGTGGCCCACGTCGCCCACGCCTTGCGCCGCTTCTGAAACCCTTTTTAAGCATTTTTATCGTCGAGTTTTGGTACTTTTGGTGTAAGTTTACATATTTTCTTACATCGATAATAGCAAAACTAGACGGCGCAAAGGATTTATTTATTGTTATAGACGACTAGAAGCAAATTATTTCATTCCCAGAAAAAGTTAGACGAGAGCTCATACCACCGGAACAAATATTTATGTTGTTCACCCCTCTCCTGTACCAAACTACAAATAGCAAGCAAAAAACACGACATAAAACGGTCGCCTAAAAAAATATTGTATGCACCTCGGCCGTATGATCATTTTTGGTCTAACCAGCTTGGCCAGGGACGCAAATTTCCAATTCAGTTAAAAAAGATCAACTTTACGGCCTTGGTACACAATTATAACAACGGTAACAATTATAATTTTTATCTGTTTTTATTTTTTTGATAATTATTTGTAATGGGATCAACTTGGAGGTTTAGTTTGTTATTTATTGAAAACCCTATTTACAAAACAAAGAAAATTGTGTATCTATTTAAGTAGATCCATTTTTGAAACTTATTTAAACGTTACTCAAGATTTGAGACATTAAAAATATTAAAATATTAGTGTTCTGTACAAAGCTAGAAAATTTTAAATTATCTTAAAAGTCTTACAATAAAAAGTAATGGTTAAATTTATTTTGGGTTCCAACAGCTGATGCCTGGGATATTAAATCCTATTCATCAACATTTTATGTACCTGCTATGAGAAACTAGTAGGGCCTCAGCACACGAACAACGTTGCCATATTTAAGGGACTCGGAATTGACAATGAATAAATACATTTAACGGATATACGAGAGCCTCGCATTGGCAATAGAAATTATATACAAAACGCTCGGAGTGCACCCTAGTAAGAAATATAATGAACTAAAAACCGTATAAGAGGAGATATCCACATCACATATGAGTCCAAAAAAAAAAATGAGATTGTGGTTTTGGGGGGTTGGGTGATGAAAAATAGCTCTATTTACACGTGTTTGACCTGCGAGGCCCGTTTTCGGGCCTCGCATGTGAAAACCGGGCCTCTAATAGTATCTTGCACATGTATTTATGGGTCTCGTATGTGACAACTATAAATCTATATATATATATATATATATATATATATATATATATATATATATATATATATATATATATATATATATATATATATATATATAACAGAGAATATCCAGCTCCAGTCAGTTATTATAATCATGTCGAGCCAAGAAATATTTAGCTTTAACCAGTTTGATGTATCGTCTGACTCCCAGTACAATAGTTTATCGTCAGACTTTCCACCATCACCGTCCCCAAAAGACATGAATGAGGTGAATACTGATGGTGAAGATGTCGTTCCAACAACAGCAACAACCACTCAAGAAGACAACGATGAGGAGAAGCTGCAGTATTTGATGAGCACCGTTATTCCGGCAGGGGCATTTTCGATAGATTGTGGCCTTAATCCTAAGCAATTTTTTAATGCCGCTGTCGGATTGAGAGAAGGTAACCATACAATTAATTTCAATTATTATACTTGGCTCTCTTTCATTGAGATATTGGAGAAGAGAATACTAAAATTCTTCGATGAACCATTTATATCGAATCCATCTACATTATACTGCGGATGTTCATGCCGCATAACACCCCTAATATATGGAGAAAATAGAAAAATTGAGCTGTATCAGCAGGGGACAACATTCAATTTATCTGAAGTGGATGTGATGACAATATTGGACGTCAATATAAATATAGTATCACCTAGGTGTGTTATGTTAAATAATTTAAATTTTTTACAATATTTTGAAAATTTGATGGAAATTATCCAAAAATATTTTAGAGATACAAATGAGTTTAGTTTTTTAAATGTGTTCAATCTACTTCATAGTTTTTGCGATAGTAGTGATAATTTGTTAAATAATATTTTAAGAGAATACATTTTTTATTTTAGGAATGATATAATTATAATTTTAAATAACGCCCATAATAAATTAAGGTACACACAACTGTAAATACATTTATTTTTTTAATAAATTTATATTTTAAAAAAATTTTTTGTTTTATTTTTATTTTTCAGGAATGAATAGTGCTAAATTTAAAAAAGAATATTTTGTTTGATAGTGTTTAATCAAAATTCACAGTAATAGTCAAATTATTGTGGAAAAGTAACTATCAGTGATTCTTCTGCAATACAATATTGTCATACCTATTTCAATTTACTGTGAAAATCAGATTAAAAAAAATAAATAAATTATGGTGGATACATGTTATAAAATTTGATTTTTAGTGAAAATTGAATTTAAAAATTCTTTAAATTATTGTGGATACATAATATAAATAAAGATTTTTTAAAATTTGAAGTTTCCCTAATATAATAAATACTTTAAATTATGGCGGATGCGCCCTATGAATATAATGGGATTTTTAAAAATTTAATTAAAACTACATATTTATTAATTTAGGAGTTTTATTTAGACTTTGATATACATTATTTTGTCGTGAAAATCGCAATCTGTTAAAAATATTTGATTCACAATCATTAATTCTTACCTGTTTGGAAGCGAATTCAATTTAAATTGAAAATTGGATTTAAAAATTCTTTAAATTATTGTGGAGACATTATCAATTTGAATTTTACATAATACTTTAAATTATGGCGGATGCGCCCTATGAATATAATGGGATTTTTAAAAATTTAATTAAAACTATATATTTATTTATTTAGGAGTTTTATTTAGACTTTGATATACACTATTTCTATGAACTATTTCTAAAATAGGAGCTATAATTTTCTCAATGTTTGTAATTCGTCGTGAAAATCGCAATCTGTTAAGAATATTTGATTCCCAATCACTAATTCTTGCCTGTTTGGAAGCGAAGCTCCAAGCATACATTAAGTGAACTTGATTAAGTGCTTCATTAAACGATACGTTCTTTTTCATAATTAAATAGATGTATTCTACGATAACTTAAAGTTGTAGGAATATGAGAACGGTCACTATTGTCGATTGCTTTCTTTAATTTAGATAACTAGAGTAATCACTGTTAGTATAAGTCATCGGTAAGCTTTATATATTCAGCTTATTATTAACACTGATATTTCCTAAATTCTGATAACTTTTAAAAGGATGAGACGTAAATAAAATGCAAATATTATTAAAAATCATTTATTAAAACATTTATATAAGACATATGTACAGACACATTTAAATACTATCATATTTGACGACATTGAACTGTTATGCCAGGGCCTTCATTTTTGAATATTTGTTTTTTTAATTGCCTAATACAATTTATATTTATTTCACTATGAATTTCTTGAGGAATACAAAAACTATACTTTTTACAATTAAATTCTTTTATAACTTTTAAACCTATATTTACAGGATTCACATCCTTCACAATCCAATAAATTTCATTTGATGTAAGCTCTTGTAATGACGGTGTAGTTATCAAAATATCCAACTTATCACTATTTTCATACTTTTGTATAGTAATATCTGGTGTGACAGCTCTTGATGACATAACAATTCAATATCCTGTGAACAAAGAAAATATATAGGTAAGTATTTTACAATAAAATAACTGATACATTTATTCAATGATGCTGTAGTGACCCCACGGCAACGTATCAAATGAATTAGGAAGCAACTTTCGCTTATTATCATGCGGACTTAATACTATTTTGCTTTGTTTAATTGAGTATACATTATGTGCATAGGAACGAATTGTACATTGATTGTCAGACATTATCTTATTTTCCTTTAAACAATTAACGTAATCAGTAAAAGTTATCCTGTTCTTAACTATATTAGATCTTACTCCTTTACTCTTTTTAATACAACTATCTTTTTTACGATCCACTAAAAATGAATACATTTTTGACCTTAAACCCACAAAATTTGTTACAATTTTACCACTAGCTTCATCTTTTAAAAGTCCTGGAACTTTTTTATTTACTAACGGAATTTCGTATATGTTTTCGGATGGATAATTGCTAGTATCAAATTTATGTAAATCTTTTTTAATAACATCTTTATAGACATCATTGCATTTGATTTCATAAATATAACTATCAGTATCCGTATATAATAATTTACATTGATCTTGCGAAAAAATTTTTAACATATAATTATAATGAAAATCATATAAGCTTACTTTTGATATATCAAGAATTGCCATACCTATATACAATGGCTTATTAAATTTCAATTCTAATTTCCTCATCTCAATAGCCATTAAATCATCATCAAAAATTGTTCTATTATGAAAATTTGGACTAGAAATCATATTTTTTGCTCCGTACCTCCCCTCATAACTATTTATCAGTCTAATTAATCTATGCTTGCGAATATTTTCCATGGTTTTGCCATAGATGGCGTTGATTTTTATTTTGTAATGCTCTTTTTGAAAGTCTGTAATAGCTAGGGTGCGCAATTTTGTGTTAAGTTCGATATAGGGCTTTAGCCAAGTCGATTGTTTAAATTCAAGAACTCTATGAACTTTGGTTAATATTAACCCATGTTCCAAAACTTGTTTTAAACTTCGATAGTGTAAGATATATTTTTCTTTATTATATAAGGTAGTTAATAACTTAGGTAACTTACAATCTTGAGGTATACGGTGCTCTGGGCAAAATGGTAAATCTTTATGTTTATCATGTAAACTTTTTGGATAAGTTAAATCTACTTCTAAAATGTATCCCACTAAACTATCATCAGGTATTACTGTAACATCAATATTAGTGTCAGCCCATTTAAATCCTCCGTATGGAAGAGATTGTATCATTCCATATCCATATAAATTATTTATATCTAAATATAAAATATATTGTGAGGGTTGACTAGGATCATAATTTTTCATATACTTGTTGTTAGCTTGAGAGTAACGGTTTAAACATTGTGAAATTCCTCCTCGTAAGGCTTTTTCAATAAACATTATAATATCTATATCGTCTAATAATTCAATCTCACATTTTGTAAATTTTAGCATACAATCCCAAGTGTAGCCTGGCACTGTATAATACCAAGCAGGATCTAAATCATGTGTCATATGACCAATCTCACGAAAGCTTTCAAAAACATCTGTAAGAAGCATTATATCAGTTTTAAGATATAGAAGACTGTATTCTAATAGATTTTTAATATTAAATTTATCCCAAACAGTTTTTGCGTGCTGATACTGTTCTTTACTAATATGACTATCATTTAATTTGTTATAAAATTTATCTATGGGTGGTAACTCTGTTTCTTTAAGTTTATCCCAACAATTAATATAATCATAACAAAATACTCCTTTACGTGAAAGTAAATCAAATGTTTCCTCATCCAAATTATTAAATTCCTTTTTCAAATTTTTAAAATCCTCTTTTTGTAGCGACGACGATAACGTATCGAGAGAGGCTCCCATGAATCTAAACGAATCAATAAAACGAAATTTAATTTCAGTATTTATATCCTGATACGTGAAAGAAATATATTTTTCTTTGTTAATAGGTAATAAACTTATTTTACTCAATTTGGCAAGATGCTTTATTATGAAGTGACTATTATAGCCTGTCAAATTGTGAAATAGAATTGGAACAATAAATTTTTTCCTGTAATTTAAATTACAACTCTGATGGGCAAAATTACGAAATTTCCCGGAAAAATGGTTGTGATCACGTACGATAATATCATTGGTATTAAAGGGTTGTTCGCAAATATGGCACATTTTTGCATCCAAAGTACTTACTGTTTCTATCATTGGAACAATATTTTTAAATTTAGATTGAACAAATTGAGCAATATGAGATATTTGCTTAGCAAACCAATCCATACAGTCTTCACCTGCATAGCTATTGAAATATGATAGATTATCGTCATATGAACATTTTAGATAATAACCTGCACTAAAAGCCCTATGGAACTGATACTTGGATGTTTTCAAATTCGGTTTATCTACAAAAGGTTCTAATATTGATTCAAAATCAGCGTAAATTATGAATGGTATTTTTTCCTTATGAACAAAATTCTTAAATTTCACAAACAAGTCTTTGGGAAATGAAACTTTCGTTTTATTTTGATCTACACAATAAACTGTATGCTCGTTTAATTTGAAATCACTAGAAAAATAATTCAAACATCTATCACAAATAAACTTTTTATGATTGCTTTTACTCAACTGATTAGATAATAATCTAGAAAGATTTTTTATCCAGCAATAATGATATTGAATGTCAATATTAAAGTCATCTATTGGTACCGCATCATAATCATTAATTTTCGGAAAATATTTATCTTGAATTAACAGCAAATTAACATGTGAAGATAATTTTTTATTGGTAAGTCTTACTGGAACAGTAAAATATATTTTCTTTCGTTTAATTTCATTTAACTCCAATACATATACATTGACTGAAATATCATTTAATTTTTCAAATTTTGAAATGTCTTTTAAAGTCATTGGTAAATCTAAACCTTCCGTTTTTAAAACCTGTTTGTAATGGGGATAAGATGATATTCTGCGAGAATTTTGTTCTACTTACTATTGACCAATAAAAGCATGCATTATCATCATTTTCAACATTTATGCAAGCACGTTTAGTTTTTATTTCTCCAGGTAACTCTACAAAAGATGAAGCCCCATTTCCCTGCTCTAATTTATTAACGTTAACTTCTAAAGATACTATTTTCTGTAAAGCCCACCCTGATAATTTTTCCTCAAATTCTGAAATCTTATTTAAAATTTTATCTATTACGTTTTCTTCAAACCAAATGTTTAAGTTCGTTCCTACATCAATAGACTCATTTCGAGTATTGAAATATTTCAATTCTATAATATCATCATTTTCTATATTTTTTTTAATAAATTCACCACAAAATGTTGTATTGACTTTGAGCATATGAAATTTTTTTAAATTATTACTGATTCTAATTTTAAATAAATAAAATGCATCTATTAAAAATTGTGTTATGTCCTTATGCACTAAATTTGTGATCACGCCGGTTCTTACACGATCCTCAAAAATAGAAATTATGTCTTCCCATTTAACTCTACTACTACGTTTCGGACTCAATCCTTGTCCAACATGACCATTTTTTATTAAAATTAAAAATCGTTTTAAATGTCCAATATTA